GTACATACTGATGTTAAGCGCTGGGTATTTTGACTTCAGACACCTTGCTATTTCTAGAACAACTATGTGGTAGAGAAGTCAATGTGAGGATTATTGTGAGATCTTTTCAGTATTAGCACACACTAATGAAAGAGAAACAAAGAGTGATAATGGAGACTAACCTATCATGTAGATATCAAGTTGTGAATTCATCACCTTCATGGAGTATTTGATATGATCATGAAGTTGGAACTTTGCTTGAAGCATTTGGAGCAATTTATGGAGTACTGGGATGTGTGCAATATTCATAGCCACCTTCACCAATTAGGGACAGTGTGGAAGTCTTCTCCAACAGAAGTGTTGTCTTGCTTCAAAATGAGCAAGAACTGTTCAGATTTGAAGGATGTAGGCTACAATTAGGGGATGAGTTTTTAGCTAGTGCAAATAATCTCATTGGCACACCTAGAACATCAAGAAAAACACAGATCTGAGCAGAAAGAATGTTGGCAATGTTAACTGTGAAGAGTCTGGGCAAACTCAGAGAGCATGAGGTATGTTTCTGTATGAAGGCTGTAACACAGTGGCCATAAATCTAACCAGGGGATGGGAGGGAAGTGACCTCTTGGTACCTATCCTGTGGTTGGACACGCTTCTTCTAGTTCCTAAGGTGAAGGGGTTCCTATTGCTGTACAGCTTCCCTGCTCAGATTCAGCTCTGTGTGTGACTGAAGTGATGCAATAATCACAATTGCAAAGCTGATGAAGCAGAATGTTACTTATGCTGTGTGAAAAGAACTTAGTGAGGCTGTAAAAACACTCAGAATTAACAAAAAGGTGGCTTTTCTAACCTTAATTCAAACTTCTTGTACACTTAAATTTTTGGATAATCATGGCTCTAGTGTCCTTATATTATATAATGTGAAGATTGCGAGTGCTCATTTTTAAAGCAATTATTTCAGCATTTTGTGTATTTATCAAGTACAGCCCCTCATTTTATCATATGCTATTTGAACATTTTTTTCTAAAGAGAAAGGGACTCTTTTAAGATTCTTTTTAGTGTAATGTCTGAGTATCCACAGTTATCAGTCTTTTTCAAACTCATTTGTGCATGTATTGTGTCCATTTTACAGATGTAAAGCTGAGGTACAGCATTAATAAGGCCAAAAAAGAGCTGCTGTTTTGAGTTGATGGTATCCTAAATTTAAAGTTATCCATGCAGCAAACTATAAGTTCAAAGCACACATTTCCATGCATTATCTCTCTGCAAATCAAATGCTAAGATCTAAAGGAATTTAGAACGCTTTATTGGTGTCTGACTTACTAAAAACTGTTGGTTATAACAGTCACCTAATATCTTGCAGGTTGCAGGAAGTCTGGTACACAAGGGGGTTTAATCATGCTTCATATAGTCCCTTTTGTTTCAGAAGTCTTTGAGCATCTTTGACAAGGCAACACACAGCAGGCTGAGCTGAGCTGCTGGATAGGAAGGAGCCTGTGGCTAGGTAGCTGAAAAAAAATTTTCTGTCACGCATATGCAAGGAGTGATTTTGAAGAGATTTATGAATTTCCCAGGTTTGAGAGGATTTCTCTTAGAAATAGCAAAATACACATCCTTAATGTGAAGATTATGACTTGCTGAATTTCAAGGTTCTTCTCCAGATCCTCTTGATATCCAGGGGTTTCTCAAAGAAAAGGTTGCTAGAACTTGTCAAAACAAGGCACTTTTCTCTTAGCCTCAGTCTCCCAGATAACTGAACATCTTTTTAAAAAATCATCCTGAGGCTAACACCACACAAAACAAAACAAACAAACAAACAAACAAACAAAAAAAATTAAAATAGCAGGTTTTGCCAAAGTTTCAAGTGCTTAAAACATGGTTTTAAAAAGTGAAGTGGTGTCAGGCATTAATAAGCAGCAGTACTAACCTGACGTGTCATAGACTGTGTAGGATGCATGAAAAAGATAAAAGTAAATGAAAGATAAAATGAAAATGAAAGATTAATCTTATCCAGTATATTAAGTCTATATTAAGTCCCGTAGGAACAGTTTGACAGTGAATGTTGTTTAGATGAGTGGTAGGAGGAAGAAGAACAAAAATTATAGAAAGAATTTGCTGCAGACTCCCAATAATAGGTTTTCAGTCTCAAAGTGATGCACATATAATTTTACCAGACATTTTTGCCGTACATTGGCTAGTTTAAAGGATAAATTAATATGATCATAAGATTTTGTTTTCCAAATTATAAATAAGGCACCTTCATTATACAAAAATTCTATTAACTCATCTGTTAGTAACTATATTATCTAGACTTGGGGAAAGAAGTCTGAAAAGGTAGAAATAGTAAGTACTGAAAGATAAATTACCTGCATGAAAAAGTTAAAACAACTCTGGATAATGCACTAAAATAAGTACAAACAACAGTCTTACAAAGGTGGTTGATAGGGTCCATTCTGTTGGAGTTCTGCATTTTTACTACATCTTTTCAAAAGACTGGTGCAAAACATTGTGTCAAATAGAAATCAGTTTCTCTAATAGTCCTTAGAAATATGCCATAAAGAAAAAGGGTTTGGATATTCCTGGTTTTTACAGGCATACTGAATATTATCCCTCAAATTTAGAAAACATCTTGAGCACCTATCATAAGAGAAAAAGAGCCCAGGGAAATATAGTGATGAGTCTGGAAGGTCAGTAGCAGAGGTGCCAAAATAATCTTCTATATATCTTACCAGATGGCCATGAGTGTTCCCAGAACCCACTAATAATCCACTGATGAGTGGGCTGTGATGAGTGTGAAACATCACAGAGCAGCCATAATAGAAAGGAAACGTGATCATAGTCATTTTTGCCTGAAAACCTCAGTTGTAGAGAAAATGGTTATATTTTGTGATTCAGCTGAACTATTTCAGAATTTAGAAAATGTGAATCTTACAGAGAAAAATGAGCACAAAATGAAATACCAAAAACTAATATAGAACAGAAAAACAGACATGGAGAAACAGGATGAAATGTTAATCTTAATCCTCGAGATCTTATGTAGATTCAGAAAACTGATGGCCAAATATTAGTTGATATGCATGTCATACATTAAAAGTTCATTTTGGTTTTGGAAATACCCAGTATATCTCATTTGGGATCTGGCTTATGATTTTTTTTTAAAAAATATCTTTTCATGAGGGCTTATTATTTCTAAAACCTAATCACATTTAATATTATATATGTTTCTATCAGTCTTTGAGGTTCTCAGTCTTAACACTATTCTAAAGGTCTATTTCCATGTGGGACATAGCACTTTAATAATGGCTTTTTAGCTTCAATGAAGTTATGTGTCACATTAGACAGTGAAAAATACAGAAAGCATAAGTGACTAGTGCTTCAGAGATGGTTCTTAGATTAATGTGGACAGTCTATACTGTATGACATTATAATTTCATTATTAAATCACTTGTGTGTTATTATTACCTGGAAATGTAGCATAAGACATATTTATTGGTAGCCCTTGTACTCAATGGTGGAAAGTGCAGCACTGTAATAAACTCTTGCCCTCTGAAATATGTTTATCTTGTCACTGAGCTGGCTTACTAATGTGATTTTCTACCTTTTGCCAAAGGAAGGTAATGCTTGCTGCAGTTGCTATGATACAAGACAGCTTTCCGGTCGATCAGCACACATTTGTACCATTCAGTTCACTGTCACTGCTGCTATCTCCCAAAGCATCACATGTGAAACGAGGATTCACAGATATTTTCCTTGTTTGCTCTGAACAACTAGTAGCAATAGTACTGAGCTTTAATTTGGTCGTGGGATTGAATTTTATTTTTTTACAAAAAGCAGCTCATGACCTACATGCAAGGTTACTACAAAACTAGGATACTATGCACTTTTTCTTGGGTTTTGCACTTTACACAGGTATAAACAACTGGCTTTGTCTTTCTAGAAGTTACACGTCTAGAAGAGGCTTTATTGATCCTCTCCTTCCTAGGGGAGGAAAAGACATAGAGAGGCACCTTCAGTGGACAGTTTATGCCACAAATCTGAGACATTTTGAACCAGGTTGAATTACAACCTAGAGGAGCCTGCGTTTTATACTGGTTAGAGAGGACACATAGCTTATATGAAACACATAATTTTTATATAGCTGAAACTGTCAGAGATGAATCCCACTTCAAGTGATAAGGTGAATTTTTTTCAAACATTTGAAATAATTTGGAAATAATCCAAAACAAGATGAACAGGTAGAGATATAGCAAAACTGTGCTATATATGGCACTAAACTAAAATGTAACACGGTAGAGAAGCAGTTCTGTAAAGAAAGGTCTGAGAAACACAGATCAACCTCTCTTCCATGCAAAAGCAAAGGTTTTGTGAGAGTTGGTGATGACATTTCTGTAAAAGTAGTCTTTCTCTCACTTGTGTCCTCTGCCTCAATCTACCAAAAGAGCTGACAGCCTGTGTTTCTTGAGAGATGTGTAACATGTTCTCTGTCAACTCCAGTGACTGTATTGTCAGGGTTTCCTATTTTGATGACATTGCACCCACTAGACAAAGACTGAAGACAAAAAACCAAAACTTTTGGAAGTACTGGCTTCCTGCCGACAGTTGATTAGGCTGCAGAAGAGATACTCCTGTTATTTTTCTGTAGGCTGGAAATTCATCAGGTGTTCTCTAAGCTATTAATAATGTTTTGGCTAGCAATACCAGGTAGCTTTAATGGATTTCTCTGCCAGTGTAGTGAATATGATTGCAATGAGGCATGAAACAACCTGTTTTAACGACTTACATTTAGACCTGATGTTAATTTTTTTAAAGACACCTGGGGCTTTCATTAATTGAACAAGCAACCACTTGACAGAGAAAAATGAATTTAAGAGTCTGAAAAATAATATTCATTGTACATTAGGAAATATTAATGAAAACCTTCTGTTAAATCTCTCAAAGAATAAGTAATTTCAACTATTGATTTTGAGATGCTTTCTGCCGATTGACACATGGTATATAAGGTAGATGTTCTCCTTTCTCTGCAGCTGGGATGACAGCAGCTCAGTTAGTAGTGGTCTCAGTGATACTCTTGACAACCTCAGCACGGATGATTTGAATACCACCTCATCTGTCAGCTCTTATTCCAATATAACAGCCTCTTCAAGGAAGAACACTCATGCCCAGGTGAGTAGCTTTTAACTGTCGTTTGTTTTAACATCCCATGAACATGCAGGATAACAAAGGAAAAAGTTTAGTATCAATGCTTCTGAAACAAATGAAATATTGATATTTTACAAAATTCTCTATCACCCTTGCATGCAAGAAGCCCGTGTACCTCACTGACCCAGCCCTGACCTGTGGACTGGCATCTCAAATTCCCTGATCCTAGGGCACACATCACTGCTGAAGGTGCTGGCTGTGAAGACTCAGCTCTGCCTACCCTGGGGCAGGCCCCTTTGGTCCCAGTCCCAAGAAGTCCCCAGCCTGTGCTGCACCATAGCACAAAAAAAACCCACAATATGACTGGATCTGTGATGAATGGATTTCTACTCACTGCAGTCCTTTTAGGGTATCTCTTTCAACATATAGGACAATTTAAAATAAGATTTGTCTTTCATGAGCTGAAATATATCAGAGAAGAAATATATAGGCTGTACCATCCTTTTCCTGTTCTCTCCCAGGGGAGCCCACATATGGCAGAGCTTCTCTTCTCTCCATTTATGTCCAGTGATTAAAGTGTGCCCTGGACCCACAAACTGAAAATACATAGTGTCAAAATAGAGTTCTGAGTATCATACAGCCACAAAAAATATACATAATACCTAAGTGTGTGTGTGTGTGTGTGTGTTTTGTATACGTGTACATGTGTGTATCCGTAAAGCTCTTGTGCCAGGTATGCCAAGTCCCCTCAAAATCGCAAGTGATCAAAAAGACAACATAGACTGTTTGCAGGATTTGGCTCCTCCACAAAAAAAAACCCCAAACAATAACAACAATGCAAACAAACAAACAAACAAACAGAACAAAACAGAAAAAAACTCCCACCAAACACACAGGGAAAAGTTTGACCCAAGAGAAAAGTATTCTCTGCCATGTCATCTCCTGTTTACAAGCGAGGAGCTTCAAGACTGAACATTCAGCGTAGGGGAAGAGTGGTTGCCTCCAGTGATTTGATGTCAAATATTCAGGACACAAGTCTGACACTTACGATTCCATTTAGACTCCTTCAGGCAGCCAGTGTCTGCAAGTCAGAGACCTGTTTCAGAGACATACATTGTCGCAGACTTTGTCAGCAGGATAAAAACACGTATTTGTCGTTTCCCCCAGACAGTAGAGAGATAAAGTTACTTTTGGAATGAAAATTACTTTAATCTCCAGCAGGACCAATGTTGTATTCATGCAAAGATACATAAATGGCTGCATTCGTCAACCCTTACCATTGCCTTTCCCACTGCATCGGGGTCTTCGATGGTTGATAACTGGAGATCAGCATCTTCCCTTTCACAACAACAGTGGCTGACTAGTCCTGCCTTGCTTGTTCCACTGCATCATCATGAGGACTGGGAAATCTCAGGCTGACTATTTAACTCCTTGGGTTTTTTTCATTCAAATGATCTCATGTTCTAGCTGCTCTATAAACCTCTCTTCTATTTGCAAGTTCGTCAGTGACAGACAGAGATACAGCACAAGTTCAAATTTTACTTGCATTCCAGAGTTGCTTTATGCTACAAAGACTAGGAGCAGACCTTTATCAGGTCTCCCTTGATCAGGCACATAAACCAGAACTCACTGTACTCTATGCTAGCTGGCAATCTCAGTCAGAAACTGAGATGAACAGAATATGTAGGTATTTTGGCAGCTGTTCTCCAGGTGTAGGACATACCCATGCAACACAGAGATTCCTTCCTCCATCTTTTTAAGTGATCGGAGCAGTGAGAGCTGGCTACAGCCTGAGACAGAAATTGCATATTTTGTTGTTGGTTTCTTATTAAAAGAAGATTAAACACCATAGTGGTGAAGAGAAACTTGTAGAAAGTATTATACTTGCCATTTCTCTGAAATTATGCAGTTTGCTTTTAAAATGTATAGCTATGTATTTACAACCATACATTTATCGGAGAAGTTCTGGGAACATGTTGTTGCGTGTTACACATGTTGTAATAATAACTATAATGAAAACTCTCTTCTGAGGGACCCTGCAATATTCGTGTACACATTTCCTTGGGCTTTTTTCCCATTAATACTTAATCAAAATCTTTGATAGCATCTCCAAAGCACATATGAAATTATGGAAATGCAGAGAGCTTTTGCGTTTTGTACACCTCAAACAACAAATATGTAAACAAGACCTGATTATTCTCTGGGTCATCTCACTGGTGCTAATCCTACTTGTGACAGCAGTGCCTAGCAAACAGCCACTGAGTGGTCTCTGTGGGGAAGGAGTTGTAACAGCACAGAATCATAAATATCCCTTCCCTGAATGTGATCAACTTTGCAGCCCCCCCTTCTGTTGATGATACCTGAGAGCAGCACCATGGTTTTGCTATTAAAGTGGGGCAGAGGCAAGCAGGAGGGAAGAGATGGTGATGTGCAAATAAGGCTTGAGGCTGAGGTCAGGAGACTGTGGGAAAATACAGGCTGAAGGGTTACACTGAACAGCCTGTCAGCACAAAGAACACCAGCCTTGTCAAACACAGGGGGTAGAGTCAGTCTGCAAAGTTTCTATTTACACCACTTTCACAGCTTCTACGTTGTCTGTCTTGTTGGGCTGCTCCTTGCAGCACTCCCTTATCAGCACACCTCAGGGAAAGCAGATGCCCCAGGGGTGTTAGGTCCTCACTGGTGCATCTTGCTCATGAGTCTGAGCTTCAGAGTGAGCGTGACCCCAGTTGGTTGCCTTCACACTGCTGGTGGGCAGTGCTTGCATATGCCTCTCTGCCATTCTTCTAGCTGATATAGCTAGAGTAAGTTTCTTGTTGGAAACAATTCACTTCAGTAGAGACAGACCAGTAGAAAAGACATCAGCTGTGGCGCTGATAATTTTGCTGAAGATGTTATCCCTGCTCACTGGTGGCACAACATACTCCATCCTGTTGGAGCAGTATTCCTAATTCGGTCAGGGGAATGCTTGGGTAGGAAAAGGCAAGAAACCAGACTGAGGTGATTTTAGTAGTATATTTAGGAAGTCCCTCATCCAACTTTTTAGTAAAACCTCTCAGCACAGTGATTAATTTCTGAAATTCAGAGGGAGTTGAGGAACAATAGGGTATCACCACCAATGATTGGGAGTAAATTGTTTCACTTCATTATAGTTTATCTATGAAGGAATGGGATGACATGGGTATGTCTTTATACTTTTTGAATCAGGATACTAATATTTTAGAAGGGAAGTTTCTGTGGCCCTTGCTGTAAATACATCAATATGCTTTTTCTCCTCCGCTCCTGTGATTTAAGAAATCAGCAAATACTGAAGATGCTGGGACTGACCATTTCTCATGCACATCTCTTGTAGCTGAAGACGGACTCAGAGAAGCGCTCAGTTACAGACAGTGAAACTTGGGGCAGCACTGAAGAACTGAAGAAACCAGAGGAAGACTTTGACAGCAGCGTAGACAGCAGTGGCAAGTGGAAAGGCCTTCCCTCGGGGCTGTCTGAAGAGTCAGAGAAGGGTGGGCAGAAAGCATCTCTCTCTGTATCACAGACCGGATCCTGGAGGAGAGGCATGACTGCACAAGTAGGAACAACTCAGTCCAGGCACAAAGCAGGAACAAGTGCACTCAAGACCCCAGGTAGGAAACTATTGTACTTCAGATTACAGTATTGAAAATCAAAACTTTATACTTAAAATTCATCCATACCTAATAAGAAATCTTTACTGGGCTAAAAATAGTTGATGGATGTTATGTATTTGTGACAGACATGAGGAACTGTAAGTATTTTGGTAGTTCTTCCCATAAACGACTGCAAGCCAAGACTGTAATAATATACTAACTTGTTCATATCTATAACAGTTAGTTTGCTACACTGCATGCTAATAATTTATTAATTGCACATGAATGCATCCATAATAAAGACTGTGATTGCATTTTGTTGTACTATCATTTGTGTATGTCAACTTCTATTAAGGAATTCTTAAAAGTATTTTTGGATTCATCTATGCCTTATCTTTAGTCTCTAGAAAATCTTATGTTTGATTAGTGAACATATGCATAGAAATGGCCAAAGATTAGAATTTGAGTTAGAAAGACTTAATATTCAAGTGAGGGTATTCGGAATAATATTTTAAGTTATTTCTGAACTAAAGCTGAATTGTCACATTCCAGATACTGTGGGTATGCCATAGACCACTGTTAAGAGAAAAAAAAATGTTTTAAAATGGGGATTTACATGCTTTATTCTGTGTTAGAGGCCTTCTTACATAATTTTGGAAAGGCTTTCAGAAAAGTAGGTGCTTCTGCCATCTGGTTTTGAAGAAAACCCCCAAAACTGGTAGAAGATGTAATTATTAAGACCGTATAATCTCAATCCATCATTTTACTAAGGAAATATGGATTGTTTTTAAGATGTTTTCTGGAGCGTTGTCACGTCCTGACAAAAGAGAGCATGAACATACTTCAACCCCCAGTTTTAAATGCAACTAACAAAGATCTCAGAATAAATTCAAGTCCTTTGTAAACTCCTTTTGTGGCATAGCAATTTGGAACTGATAAACATTGGTCAGTCTCTGGTCTATAAGATTTCTGAGGAGCATAGCCATGGTCAGTCACCATATGGATACAGAAATTACACCCCTGTAATAGCCATTAAAAAATGAAGATACTAAAAGGTTTACTGCATGCCTAGCTAAGTTTCCCAGATCTGCTTTTCTGAAGATGAGTAAGCAGCCACTGTGCAACACAAAACTGGTGCCTTAAATTTTAAAATATATACTAATAATCTGTATGTTCACCAGGTAGGAGTTTGGTCCATATCATGGCATGTGCATGTGTTTGTGTAGCATAATATGCACATTGGATGAAAACATGAGTGCGTTTAGTTCTGACTTGCAAGTGTTGCTCTTTATTACAGTCTAGTTTCTTAAGAGAAATTAGGTCACCTACCTCCAAAACTTCCATAATCACTTGAAGAGTATATTAAAATCTTTGTTTTGCAGTTATTCCTTATTAGGAGCACACAATAGATGCCTAAAGAGAAATTAGAAAAGAAATGGTGGGGTTTTATCTGTTTGCAAAATAGTAAGAATGTACTTTCTCTTAAGATAGAAGAGAACATCTTATTTAAACCTTTCTGAACACCAGAATAACAACGTTATGTAGAAATAAATATTACACAGTTATGCACCTGTGCAGGACTGAAGACAGCCTCCAGAAAATCAAAAATCTTGAGAATCTATCAAGGACATGACAAAGGCTATTAACTTGTGTAATTGATGTTGTTATACATCAAGAAAATTCATACCATGATAACAACATCTCTGATAATTTTGTGTAACTAAAAACCAGAGCAAACTTAGTCCTAAGCTAAAAGAAATCTAATCAGTGAAAACCAAAGAATTCAATAAGGTACCACTAATTTCTACATACATAATTAATGCCATACTTTAGGAAATGTTAATTTCATGTAATGTTTTATTTTCAAATATTATTTCTTACATATGGAAATACTATTAACAACAAGAACCAAGTCAAATAAAATTCTTGAGTTCATTCAGTATAATTTTCTACAGCTACATTCTCCAGCTACATATGAAACTGAAGTCTGGAGGGGAATTTCAAGATTTTAATACTTAATGTTTGACTGTAATGTGCCACACCTCATACTGACAGCTGATGGGAGACTAAAGACCAAAGCGGTTTATTTTCTTAGGGCAATCTTTGTGTATTTTTTGATTTTGAAATTGTAATCATATAGTGTTGAAATTAGATATTGAGGCATTACAGCTTAAATGCAACCTTTTCAAATATACTTTTGTTTAGGAAAAACTGATGATGCAAAAGCTTCAGAAAAAGTGAAAACTCCTCTGAAAGGAGCCTCCATTCAGCGCTCTTCATCAGATGCAGGAAAAAGCAGTGGTGATGAAGGAAAAAAGCCTCCTTCTGGCATTGGGAGGTCAACTGCCACAGGGTCATTTGGATTCAAGAAGTCCGGGTTGGGATCTTCTACCATAATCACAACAAGTGGAGCCACCATCACAAGTGGGTCAGCAACTCTAGGAAAAATGCCAAAATCTTCAGCCATCAGTGGGAAGTCCAACGCAGGCCGGAAAACGAGCTTAGATGGTTCCCAGAATCAGGATGATGGTGTCCTGCATGTGAGCTCAAAGACGACGCTGCAGTATCGAAGTTTGCCTCGTCCATCAAAATCCAGTGGCAGTGGGATCCCTGGCAGGGGAGGCCACCGCTCCAGCACCAGCAGCATCGACTCCAACGTCAGCAGCAAGTCTGCGGGTGCTGCCGCCACCAAACTGCGAGAGCCAAGCAAGATCGGGTCCGGGAGGTCCAGCCCTGTAACCATCAACCAGACGGACAAGGAAAAAGAGAAAGTTGCGGTGTCTGATTCTGAAAGTGTGTCACTGTCCAGTTCCCCTAAATCCAGCCCAACTTCAGCGAGTGCCTCCGGCACGCCAGGACTAAGACAGCCAGGATCCAAATACCCAGATATTGCTTCCCCCACATTTCGAAGGTTAGTGCATTTCTATGATTTTCTGAAGTTGCCATATATAAAGCAGAGATTTTCAATGTGTTCTAGTACTGTGCAAAATGCCTCTTCAGGGCATATTTTGCCACAGATAATCAAGTACAGGAAAATAAAAGGGCGATACTTTTTCACAAAATGCAGTTATTTCTTTAAGATTTACAGTCCTTCCCAGACCTGAAATGGCTGGTCCTTTTGCTTTGAGCATTTTAGGTACATCCCCATAAGAACAGTTTGAAGCCTAGAAGAAATTGGACCCAATGATCCTTATGTGTTCCTTTGAGCTCAAGATATTCTATGATTCTAAGTTCAGACACATGAGAAGCTCCCTCTCAGTAATCTGGTAAGCCCCCAAAGAGAAGAAGGACACACTGTTCAGGCACATTCTGTTACTGGAACAAATGGTGCCATATTCTGGACAGAAAACTGAAGAACTCTTTAAATGATAAAGACTTAGATTTGTTTTCACGTTGTTGGCAGCTCTAGCTACAAACGTTTCATTATCTAGAGTTTTGTACATCTTTTGACACAAATATTGGCAAGGCTGAATTTCAATTGGAAATGCCCTATTGTAACATTTCTGGAAGTATAAATCTGGATGCGGTGTAAACTGGAATGGAACACTTGCACTGCTGGCAAAAAAGCCAATAGTGCCCTCTTGTGCTTAGTTACTAAAACAGCATCTCCAGGCTGCTGGGGAGCAGCTGCTGAGTTTTGTGGGCTTGGTAATATGTAAAGTGGATTCCTATGTTATTAGTCATGCTTACTTTACATCATGATAAGTTTTGCATTTGTTTACTATTGATTTATAAGTTGCACCTTAACTGCAGCTTAAAATATTTCCAGAAATACTTAAAGCATCACATTACCTTTTAGTTCAAGTCTTGGAGGATTTGCAGTTTATTTTTTCATCATGACTGTAGAATTTTCTTCTCTGGAATTGCTAGAAGAAATTCTGTGAAATACACCTCTGTCATTACTGCCCTTGGTGACAAACTGACCCCATTTAACCACAGTGCAGTTTATTCTGCCTGAGTGGTTACTACATGGCCAATGACTGCATGACCATCTGTGCAAAAGAACAAGAGGGAAATTTTGCACAAATACTTAGATGCTTATTAAACTATGAAGGATTTTGCAAGTGTTTGTTGCAATCTTTTTAGAAGATTTGAGAAGTGAGGGGTTTAAAAGCTAATGACTTAGCTGTGGGAACACTTAATTACTGAATTTGGGTGAAAGTGTAATCTGTTTATGCAGTAATAAGACAAAAACATCATTATTTCACCCCTCTCTGGGTGGGTCTGTATGTGCAAAGAGCACATCTGAATAGGAGTGAATGACAGCTGTTTGTAATGAAACAAACCCTGACTATTGTGATATGGTTAAGTGAATTTAATTTTGCACTGCGATTGATCAACTAGGTAGTCATGATTTTAGTAGCAGTAATTAAAAATGTGTAGTTTGGCTCTTAGGATGTTGCGCCATGAATGTTTAATGTGGCTACCAGTTTCTCTAAAGCTATTTGTTTTACATTTAGGTTGTTTGGTGCCAAGGCAAGTGGTAAAGCTGCCTCTGCACCCAGTACTGAAGGTGTGAAACCCACATCGGCAATGCCCAGCCCTAGTACCACATTGGCACGGCAAGGCAGCCTGGAATCGCCATCCTCGGGCACAGGCAGCATGGGCAGTGCAGGTGGGCAAAGTGGTAGCAGCAGCCCCCTCTTCAGTAAACCTTCGGACTTAAATGCAGATGTTGTAAGCTTAAGTCACTCCTTGGCTTCCAGTCCTGCCTCAGTGCACTCTTTCACATCAGGTGGTCTTGTGTGGGCTGCAAACCTGAGCAGCTCTTCAGCGGGCAGTAAGGACACACCAAGTTACCAGTCCATGACTAGCCTTCACACCAGTTCCGAGTCTATTGACCTTCCTCTTAGCCATCATGGCTCTCTCTCTGGACTGACAACAAGCACTCAGGAGGTTCAGAGCCTGCTCATGAGGACTGGAAGCGTCAGATCTACTCTTTCGGAAAGGTGAGCTTACCTATAGATACAGTGACCACGAAACGAGTTAGAGGCAAAAGGACAGGAGCCAAAAAAATAAACCCTCCATCTGTTTTCCTGAAAGGACCCTGTTTAATTAGCAGTTTAGTCCTTTATGTAAAGGAAGGAAGGAAAGGAAGAAGGAAGACAGGCATTGGATGTGGAATCAACTGCCTTTTAAGGTTTTACAAGCGCTTTTTCTATCTTGAGAAGTTTTTTTGGTTCCCTTTTTCTGGAGAACAACCAGAGAAAAGGGAGAAATTGTCTTATTAAATTTAGGCAAATCTGAACAGTCAACAGACATAATAACTTCTGCATGTTGGATCTACCCAGAAATTGGCAGCTCCAAAGCTGTATCATTGCCCTCTTGCTAGCAAACCTCCAGCTGTCAGACCCCACCACTTTTCTTCCCATTAGCTCAATGCATAGGCAGAGCTGGTGGGGCCTGGCCTTCAGCTGACCTGTCTTACATTGCTGACAAGTTACTTCTTACATGGTAATCATTATACAGATCCTTGCTGAAATGCAGTTTCACTGGCAGGGAGACAGTTTACAAGATGAAATCCTTGCTATACGCAAGATCCTGACAAGTGTCTGGAACAGAGAAAGAAATGCAAGAAAGGGTTTTCCTCGCTTCTATTAAAGATCTTTTTGATATGCAGATGTTTTGCTTTTGAAGATACATTATGAAGCGGCAACCAGCCTCGCTCAGTTGTACCAAGATATTTTTTCTTTTTTCTTTTTTTTTTTTTAAATTTTTTGTGAAACATTTATTCGACTTCTGCAAGAGAGAAAAATAATCTTTGCTAGGCAATAAGTGCACTTCCTGTGAAAATTTTAAATATTTGACAGTGAAGCTCTTATCTGACATGGGGACTGAAAAGTCAGCATTCAATATTTCATTAGCCTTTGACCCAAAAAAGGTTATTATATTGAACCAGTCAGAAATATTTTGCACTTAGTTAGTTGTTTAACAACACAATCATTTAAATAGAAAAGATCTTTTATATACAATATCAAGATTCTTCCTCTTTATATAAACCCAGAGATTTTTCAATACCAATCCTTTCCACAGAAAGATTTCACTTTCAGTGAATCAGCATTAAAAAAGTAATCAAAACTAAATGCTAAACAACCCTTTGACATATCTAGATGGAAATTTTCTGCACGTTTCATTCTCTTATGTTGCATTCATAAGCATTACTATATCAGCTAAAAATCACACCTCTTACCAATATAATTACAAAACTGTAAAACATATATGTGTACCAGTATAATGTATGATAACAACAGTGGATAAAAATACACTGATACATGAGTAATTTGTAATTTGCACTGAGCCTTTAATTTTTAAATTGAAATTTGCATTGTGTGCCATGAAACAAATGTGACCATATTTCTTAGAAGGTCAATTGTTCATACTTAGCTTATAAAAACCTTGACTAATTTTTAGAGCTACATATATGGATGGTGAGGTCAATAGAATGATGTGGAAAAGTATAAATTTATGCCAAAGATTTAATTTATATGGAGAATGTTAAACATCACATTTCAAATGTTAATGGTTTGGCATAAGCTCCTGAGCAACCCCCACTACTAATACTTTATGTGACTTAATTTCAGTGGCTCCAAATACTTTGCCTTTTGCAATATTTCTAAGTTTCAGACTTGTCCATATGGGGGTATTATGATTGAGTGCAGAGAAAGTAATTTTTCGTGCTGATCTGGCCTCAAAACAAATGCAGGTACCTTGAGTAAATGGTGTAATTTCTTGAGTTACAGCCTCAATAGGGGATTTGCAGTTAGATTTTTCTGAAAGGTCTGATACAAGTGCTCTGTTATTTCTAAACTCTCATATTCTGTAAAACTTACATGTAGCAAAGTATTTGTTCATGACAAAAACATTGATTTGTAATGTTGGAGATAGATATATTTGGCAGCAGATTATGTCCTTTTTCCTTTGTAGGCTCAGATTATATTTTAAATGCCTCTGGCAATACTAATTATAGCCTGGCATATCATAAGAAATTATCTGCAAAGAGCCTTTCTCTTTTTCTTTAGTCATTCTAGAGCTTGCAAAAGCCTGAATCTGTAGTGAGTATAGTCAGCTATACTAATATAATGTAGAGACAAAATCAGAAAGACCAAAGCATAAAATGGGATACAGCTAGCAAACAACGTAAAGTCTATGCAGAGAAAGCCTAGGAAAACTGAAAGAGAAGAGAGAGCTAATAGCAGATGATAGAAATAAACAGGGGTTTGCTTCATTGAAGTATTAACTGAAATTTGATAGCTAAATATCACTAATGACAAGTATACTAAGAGGAAATGAAAAGGTTAAAGATTACTCTGGTTTACTGGTACTGGTGAACTTTTCATTTCCCTGCTTCAGACACAGTCTGAAATAATCCTGCAGTCATTAGTGCTGGAGAAAGGTTTTCAAAGGGTCTGTGCTGAGGAAGGAGCAAGGAGGAGAGCTGGGATGGAGGGCAAGGGGATTACAGGAAGGCCACCTTGCCTGGAAGAATACAGAGGATAATAAACAAAATAGGTCAAGTAACACATAACATGGGATTAGACATTAACAGCCTTTCAAATAAGACTAATTTAATTTGCAGGAAAACAGGCTTTCTGAGTAGAGGAAAGGAGTGAGTAGATGCAATAAAAATCCTGAACATAGTATAGCTTTAAGTGCTGTTCCAAATAGCATTCTTGTAAGCAAATGGGGGAAATAAAGGTGCTTGACAGGTTGGTAATGAGTTATTGCAGATTAGTGATCAAAGTCTTATTAGCCTGAAGGAATATAACAGGGCAGGATATATTTGCACAGATACAAAATGGAAAATGATGAGGCTGTTTTGTAGAAAGTGTCTACAGAGTTTTAGTGCCATTGCTGAGACAAAATCATTTCCCCAGCATTTTTAAAATGAAAATATCACATGCAGTTCTTAGAAAGTAGATATCCCATTCTAGTTTTTTAGATTAAGGCTATAACTTGAAGCCTTTGAGACATCAAGTTTTAGCAAAGATTTGATGCAGTTGGCAAGAAGCCAGAAAATGAGTACATAATCTCACGGTACATCTGTGTTTTATGTTAAGGAGAGTAGCCCTTGACTGCCTTCAAAAAAACAGTCACCTACCATGGAGACAACAAATCTGCAAAGTCTCTGCTACATTTACCCACACATCCCTTCAAGGATTGATCAGACGTAGCCCACAGCTGGTATTCAGGCTACACACTGACCGATAGAGGATGGCATCAACACAGCTCCCTGACAGCTGCTGGAGTGATACAGTGTCAAACTTTACTCCAGCCAAATTTAGTGACATTCAATGAGATTGTTTTGTGTTGTAATAACCAGAAAAAACATTCAGTAAATGCTAGCAAAATATTTGCTTTTTCAGCAATTATTGCATCTCTCTCAGGCCTTTTGCTGATTTTTCACAAGCAGTATTAATTTAGACAAGTCTAATTCTCTTGTCCTATCAGTGTAACTCCCTATGTGGGAGGACAATTGTATTCTACCTTATAACAATTTAGAGGGCTGCAGGTACTTATACTCTAAAATAAACCCATCTACTGGGATTAATTGGTGAAATATGATTGCTTTAATTGTAAATTTTTCCAGGTGGACGCATCACCAGTAGTTCTTTTGAACTCTTAACTGCTGTTGGGCATTGTAAATTTGTGACTTTCTTCTGTTTGGTTTGAGTGACACAGCAAGCGGTGCATAAAAAATGCAGAAATACAGAAACTAACAGTGGTCTCATCAGCGGTAATAGCTGCATTTTAAGATCAGCAGAGTGGAAGTGGTTTCTAATTGCATGACTGGCTTGCTCTGGTTTGCTTTAAAAGAATGTTTAGTTCTGAGGACCATGAAAATGCATCGAAATCCACTTAAGCTCTTCAAGAGTTTCAATTATTTTAAATTATCATCATAATTGATGGTTGTGGTTTTAAGGTGTGAAACAGTGCATCATGTTTCAGATTTTCTTATGTGTGCAGCCATTTATAAGACCCATATTAGCTTGGCCCAGCCTGTCATAGACCTCCCTAGTTGTTTCTTAACTTGCAATAATTCATTTTATTCCCTAACAGCTCCGAAACAGTTAGATATAGCCCAAGGATATGGCATTATGGCCCTTCCCCAAGGTAACCTCAATACCAAGGGCAGGTAGGAAAGTGAGAACTGTAATGCCTCCTGTAATTTCTTGTATCTCCTCCATACAAGTTGCAGACAGTTTCATCAGTGCAAAATAAACAAAAGAGAACAAGGTACAGTGGGCTTGATAACTTCTGCCTGCATCTGCATGCATCTTCTTGCAAGACTGCTCTTTGTAACTGACATGGCAAAGAAAAATACCAGAAATACTATGATATAATCTCACTTTATAATGGTATTGTTCCACGTATGCATTGCTTCTTTCAGGAAAGGACTGACTTTTTTTGTCATATTGTCTTTAGAGATCTGAGATCAATACAGTTCTATATACCAAAAGTCCAGTTTCTGTAGAAGTAATGTACCCAGCTTTTGGTGGATGAATGATTTCAAATACCAAAAAGATAAGGGCACTCATTGGTCTGAAGTAATAGTTACATGAAACCACGGTTAATCGTTTCATGCAATTATCTGAAGTCTAGGAGCATCTTCATAATCTTCAGCATTTTTAAAACACAGAACAAATGTTTGCTACACTCACTTTTATACAGTTGCTCGTATTGAGGAATATGCACCATTTAGTATCTGAATTCAAAAGATTTTTTCAAAATCCTATGGCCTACTTATCTGACTGATGTAACTTTTGGCTGGTGAGTTGCTTTAAAGGAGCACTGACTCCTTTATTTTTAGATAATGTGCTGTAGATTATTCTGAAATACATGTATCTCCAAGCTAAAGTAGCATTAGAAAATATATTGTTCATTTGCATTTTTTAAGTATTTGCAGAAGAAACTGGTGTTATGATAATCGTGTTTATTGGGTTTGAAATTTGGAGGTACATAAAGGAACAGCAAGAAACAAAAGACCCCATTTTCTCTGTAAAGAACTGAAAAATAAGTGAATCATGCATTCAAATTTATGTTGTTTTTTTACCAAACATTCTTGATCCTGTTTGCTATGTTGGGAGCAAAATGCTGAAAACACAATCCCTTTTCTGAAATAGGACTACTCTTACATGGACCATGATAGCCAGGCCTGTGCTGAAATGCTGCCAAGTTTCTCCTTCCGTTTGCTTTCTCCACATGCAGAGCAAGGCTCTGTTTAAACTAGTAAAATTGTCTATAAAACTTTCTGGTGGTAAGAATGGGTTGTTTCCATTAGTGGGAGCCCCAACAGTAATGGATTGCTAATGCCAACAGTGTTTTCACTGCCTTTACCTAATTGGATCAAGGTTTCATGACAGCAGGGCACCCATCAGCCCTCAGCACAATAGGAAACCACCTTTAATAAGGGTGTGAAAGTTTTTTTGGGTAGGAAGGATCCTCAGTTACTGTTGCTCTCAGAGGTGTGATTATGATACAGAAACATTCTAAAGCAATTTCACCATTTAATCCACACAGTGACATTAAGTTCAGGCAGAAACCATTGCAACACTTGATGATAACTAGTTCAACCCACGCTAGCCAGAGACTGATCTACAAATAATGAAATGCCCAACTGACACTTATTTGAAGGAAGGCTAGTCTAGGGTGGTGTTTAAATTAGGAAAACTCCAGCCATAGATTTTGGGTAATCAGCTGCTGTGCCGCCATGTGTGCATGAATATGGAACAATGTTGCTCTGGTACCACTTTTCATTGTCCCTACCATCACCTTACTATGTGAGCCCCTCCGCGACAGAAAGCCAACAGTCTGTATCTTTAGCACATATTTCTACATGCCGAGCTGCTATTTGGCTTCTGGCAAGGCCATGCTGTCTCTTAGCAGGGGCCACAACCTTCATTTCTTCAAAAATACGTTGACTTATCATAGGCAACTGTGAAAAATAAAGATTCACACTGTGACCATATGATTCTCACACAGATAGCAGGATGAAGCTGTAGGAATTTTAGAAATGGTAAAGCAGCACTTCTTTCCTACTTGGACAGTAGCCAAATTACTATTGCCCCAGCTCAGAGCAAGTCTAGATGAAAAATGAAAGTGCAGAAGTCCGTGTCTTATTGTCCTCTCCAATGAGCAAGGGCTATATCATGAAAGTTGTATTAAAAAGCTTTAAGTGACCTTCTGTTATGCACACAAATCTAGACCTTTAAAATCTGTAATTCTGAACAGTCATGTTTACTGTATGTCCTTAGGGATTTTTTTTGTTTTAACAGCATGCAGCTTGACAGAAATACACTACCCAAAAAGGGATTAAGGTATAATTTTTTTTGAGCATGACTGCTGCTTCTCTGTTTTCCCGTAATCTTTTCTACACTGTCTACTTTTCTTTCTCCTTTTTTTGATCTTGTTTACAACAGAGTTCATGGAATTTAGATTCAAACCAGAAAACATAGATTTTAACAATGGACTTTTTCTTTCCAAGTCTGCCTAGTGAATAAATTCTCCTTCAAGATATATCATGGAAAGTAAATACTTTTAAGGATCATTTCCTTATGCAATGAATCTTAAAAGGCATTGAATCCTGGAGAGCTAAAAGAGACAAGATACATAGGCAATTCAATAGAACTAATAATTGAAAACATTTAGAAAACCAAGGTTTTAGAGGTAGATCTGAACTTGAACTCTAAATGCAAACAATCATGCAATTTGAATTGATGATCTAGTAAAGGGTAGGGCTAGAAAATACTGATTTTATTATCCAAGGTTTGTAAGTAGAAAATGAGTCCTGCTCCATCCAGTCTTCTTGGTCCCTATCCAGCAATACTCGGAGTCCAACTTTGCTACTAATTCCCCACTAAATAGAGCTGTTTTCATCACAGAAAACAGAATTCATCCACCCTCTTCTCTGCTGCATGGTTAAAAGAAGGGATCATTAGGTAACTTGGCTGAACTCCTCAGGCATTAGGTTAGGTTTGGCAAGCAAGCATATATGTGCATGCACACAGACACTTTGCAGCCTTCCAATAACAAATTACACAGTTAATTCTCTTGTGCTATGAATAGATAATATTTATGAAATTTTAAGACAGTGCGAAACTTTTGTCACTATAAAGCACCTTCTGCACCAGTTGTTCCTTAATAACAATGAAATCAAATTTCCCATTAACCAGGTTTGGCAAGCAAGCATATATGTGCATGCACACAGACACTTTGCAGCCTTCCAATAACAAATTACACAGTTAATTCTCTTGTGCTATGAATAGATAATATTTATGAAATTTTAAGACAGTGCGAAACTTTTGTCACTATAAAGCACCTTCTGCACCAGTTGTTCCTTAATAACAATGAAATCAAATTTCCCATTAACCCAAAACTATCGTTTTGGATTTGAAGAGAATGGAAAAGGTGAAAGATATGAAAAAGGCATAATGGGTACGCTACAGGGGTACAATGGGATAATCAAGGTTTGTGGATGTACAACTGTAATGGTACCTGAAAGCTAAAGTGAGATGGAGTGGGAAAACTGCTTATAGACATATAAGCCTGATCAGTTAGCCCAGGAAAAACGTCAGTTTGATTTAATGTGCAGAAATCCCAGTCCAAAACTCAGATCCTGAATTCTCATTTTGCAGTCTTTCCCATCTGACAACCACTGGGCAACTCTGTGCTTTACCACATTTATAGGCAAAGATCATAACTGTCTTTTTGAAAGGGGAAAGGAAGTAAGTATTTAATAAGGACAAGATGATTTAGTGTCATGAAATATTGTACAAAACCCCAAGCACAACATGAGAACTTACATGTTCATTTAATCTGCTTTCTAAGCAGAAACACTTGTGCCTCACAAGCCTGAAGACAGAATATCAAAAGCCCTTTCTGCTTTGCTGTTTGGGGAACACTGATGGCTCATGACAGTGGCAAAGAAGGTGCTCATTTCTCAGCAGGAGATTTTGCTGAACCAAGCAGGCTATTGTAGACATTGCTGAAAACAGTCTTTTGATTAAGACCCACACTGCCTGCACATTTTAATGTTTAGCCACTGCCAGAATTGCCTTTCTTCCAGCCCAGCCAAGAGGGGCTGGGCCAGAGAGTAACCAGTTCTCCCTTTTAGCCCATGTGTCATGTTACATTTGTTTTATTGGTTTGCCATTGGAAGCAGTTAATTAATTATTTGATTGCCAGACTTCTTCCTTCCAGAGGACTTGTTTCTGCTAATTGTGGATGTTTCCTGGCCCTTTCCCTCCCCCCAGTTTGGAGCAGGACACAATGCCAAGTAGCATTCAGAGTGGCAGACCTCACGTGTATGACCATTAGTAGTTATCATTACCAATGCAAATTCCTTTTTCACATTTGTTTATCTGTTTCACTCCTGTCATCTAACCAACTGCCCACATGATCTGTGGCAGATGTCATTTTATAAGTGGCTACTCACATTTCTTGGCTACTAGTCTGTCCACTCCCTATCTCAACCATACAGCTTCCAAGCTTTTGCATCAGCCTGTACATTTCCTGTAGATTCAAAGTCCTTTCCTGCCAGCTCAGTTGTTTGTCTGCTATGATTTATCATCATATCTCTTCAAAGGAAAGGAATGCTGTCTTGGGGAGGGGGATGAGGAGGAAAGGGGTTTCAAGTCCTGTACTTTTTCTGTTGTAATACGATGGCAAATTTTACCTTGTTAAAATCTCTGGTGATTATGATGCTTTCCAAGGGTTTTGTTCTATCTAACTGGTGAAGGGTATTTGTGTGACAGTAGTTTCTTTCCAATGCATCACCCTGTCATTGTCTTGAGCATGTCAGCTGTGGTTTTTCAGATATACACCATCATCCCGGCAGACGAGTCAGGAAGAAGGCAAGGAATGGCTACGCTCCCATTCAACTGGAGGCTTGCAAGACACTGGCAGTCAGTCCCCGCTTGTTTCTCCTTCAGCTATGTCTTCATCTGCAACTGGAAAATATCACTTTTCCAACCTGGGTAAATGCTGTTTCCCTTCACTGTTTCTCCCACTCTTTAATAGAATCATAAAATTGAACTGTTCATATTTCTTAGTCTGCCAAGCTAGGTAGTTTATTCTAATATCTCCATCCCCATATTGTGTATCTCACTAACGAAGGGAAACTCACAGTGGTTAATGGAGTGGGACAGGATACCTCCTACTTTGCATACAGGAGAAAAAGCACAGATTATCCATGACTTGCCCAAGAAGATAAAAATTTTAGGCAGAGCTGGAAATTAGCTTGTAGTTTAAAGCTATTCATCTTTTAGGTTTCACAATCAGTAGGATTCTTTCCAGTGATTTTAGTGAATGTCAACCCAGACACTAAACATTGCTTTTTTCCTATATACAGGTTTACTTTGAGATAGACCCTTCCCGTGTGTTTCAGTAGCTGGACCTGCACTGGGCCCAATCCAAATACTAACCTTGAATGCAAAATAGTATTTTGGGATATGTGTCACATTGCAGATTTATTTGATTACAGGTCAAGATTTAGATTTCATTCTTCAGGATCTTGTTTCAAGTTAATCCAACACAAGTTTAGTTTTGTTAATAATTTTATTTTTTCTATAATGCTTAGTAGAAAACCACTTATTTTCACCATGCTACACATGTACCTAGGCTCACAATGAGCTTTATGTGGTTTAGATCCTTACTGAGGAATTAGCAGCAACCTCTGGAGCACTAACACTTCCATCAGTTTGTCACAGCTTATGGCATCTGTAGGTTACAATCACTCTAAAGAAATTTGATCATACGTACAAATGTTGGTCTTTATTATATGTGGGAAAAGAAGTTGAACAAAGCTACTTTTAAAAGTGAAATTGGATCCTGGCTAAGCAAGCCACTGCTTTGGATTCCCCTCCTGTAGTTTTAGACACAGCTCTTCGTAAGAAGTGTTTCTTTCACTGTATAATTTTCTGCTTATAATTATCTTCTTTTCCATTTTTTTCATCGTTCTTGTACTCACAACAGAAAGCAATGAGATTGTGTGGTTTAAAATTTATTTTGTCATTGTCCTTTGCTACTTTCCATTATCATAGCCCTGTGGAGTAATTTGCTCTCACAACACAGCTGCTCTGATAATTTATAACTTTTTGCATGATCTAAAATAAACCAAATAAACTAAACTAAAATAATTTGCAAATAAACTTTGGTCTTAACAGCCATCAGTAATATAGGTTTATAACAATGAAATACACATACTGATTAGTTAGATGAGGTGCTTACAGAAATACTTATCCCATCTTATTCCTTTTTAACTTTTAAATCTCTCCCATTGACTTTGTCTTGTGCTGTCAAAGTGAACAAGTGTGTGTTCAGACACTAGTGTTAGTGTTACCATGTGTTCTACAGGATTAGTATTATCCAGCTTCAGCTTAAAAGTAGGAATAAAAGCTCTTAATTTTCTCAACAGCATGAAGTCCACCCAACCATGCTAGTCCTACATTACAATTTTGTGCAGAACCAAAATTCATTTAATGGAAATGTACTCATTAATAAAGCTTTGTATTCCAGTGAGTCCAACCAACCTGTCACAGTTTAACCTTCCTGGACCCAGCATGATGCGTTCAAACAGCAACCCTGCACAAGACACTTCTTTTGATCTATATGATGACTCCCAACTGTGTGGCAGTGCTACTTCCTTAGAAGAGAGACCACGAGCGATTAGTCATTCAGGTTCATTTAGGGACAGCATGGAAGAAGGTAAGACTGAGTTACTATTTAGACAAAATAGGTCCCAAAATAAATGTCCTAAGTGTAGTAAAATTTTAAAATATTTCTTCTTCAACATGAAAACGCAAGTGATTTTGTGAAGCATTTTTAAATTCTGTTGAGTTGGACTTACAGGCCTTCTTTACCCTAAAACACAGAAGGTATTTCTTTCACCCAGTAATATTCAATGCCATGTATCTCATACATGTACAAGACCTCTGTCAGAAATTCTGAGAGAAAGGAAGCCATTCTTGAAAAATTATTCACCTCCCCAGCCTGTCTTTCCTGTAAAGCCTAACCCCTTGGAGCACTGGAATACAAGGGTTTAGGTTTTACAGGAGAGACACGCGGGGGAGATGAGGAGGAGTAGCCCTGTATGTCCATGAACAGCTGGAATAAAGCAAAGTGTAGGAGAGAATTGTGCTCTTAGACAATTAAAGTGTTTAGGACACGGTTGCTGGGTTAGAATTGAGGGACTGTATGCCTTGGATAATAATTCAAACAAGATGTGTAGGACATGAATGAAGGCCTCTATAAGACAGGTGCAATTAGCCTCAAGCTCGCAAGCCCTAGTCCTCATGGGGGATTTCAGTCACCCCAATATCTGCTGGGAGAGCAACATGGTGGTGCATAAGCAATCCCAGAAGTTCCTTAAATGTGTTAATGACAACTTCCTTACACAGAAGATAGAGGAACCAACAGGGATAGGAGCTGTGCTGGACCTTGTGCTCACCAACAGGGAGGAGCTGGTGAGGAATGTGGTGCTCCAAGGCAGCCCTGGCTGTAGCGACCACTGGGTAGTGGAGTTTGAGATCCTCAGGGTGGTGAGGAAGGCACACAGCAAGATAACTGCCCTGGACTTCAGGACAGCAGACTTCGGCATCTTCAAGGACCTTCTTGGCAGAGTCCCCTGGGATGAAGTCCTGGAAGGCAAAGGGGCCAAGACTGCTGGCTAATATTCAAGGGTCTACTACTCCAAACTCAGGACCAATGCATCCAGACATGGAGGAAATCAGGCAAAAATGCTAGAAGGCCTTCATGGATGAATAATGAAGTGCTGAGGAAACTCAGGTGAAAAAAAGAGGCCTTTAGGAGGTGGAAGGGAAGACAAATGGACTGGGAAAAATACAGAGAAGCTGTAAGAGAAGCTAGAGACACAGTCAGGAAAGCTAAGGCACAGTTGGAATTGAGGCTAGTCAGGGACATTACCATGGCAGGGAGGATTGGGACTAGACGATTTGTAAGGTCCATTCCAACCTTTAAATTCTATGATTCTATGATTTTATTCTTTTTTCCTCTAAATGTGACATGTCTGAACATTCCTTGACTACTGTGTTTCCATGCTTTCTTAATCCTACTTTGGTAGTTTGGGGTTTTTTTTTTCCCAAATGCCAGTGCTACTTAGCACCCCCTTTCTTTTGTAATCATTTCATTTCCCCACTTTCCTACAACCTTCTACAGCAAACTCTATGTGAATTTCTGTATTTAAACTCTGTCATTTAATCTGACCTCACTACCTTAATGCAGATTATTACTGTAGGTGTGCTTTCTTTAATGCTATGTGTGGCATCTGGAATTTGAGGAATTTTTTGGGGGGGTTTTGTTTTGCTCCTTTTGAACCACAGAATGCCAGACAACTCCTAATTAAATGCACTATAACATTTTATTCTGCTTAACTTTTCTAGTAAAAACAACTAAAATTTAATGGAGATTCATTCTATAACATCATCTCATCAATCTCACTTACTGCTAAATCACAACAATATAAATGATCTTTATAAAAGCAAATAAAAAAGTATTCCGCTAGCCCCAAAGCTCATCATGTGAGATAAAAGGGAGGGTTGGAAATCCTAGGTGAAACAACAGACAATATTAGTTATTTTATTTTTAATTCTTTGTACTGTATTTTAGATGATATATCAGGCAGACATCTGGGTATGTAATACTAGCAGTAGGGTGCAGAACACCTCAAGCTGTGAGTTGTCAGCACAGAGAGGATGGCTGACTGCACAGAAGCATATCACATAATTCAAGGACAGAAGTGACTACAGACTCTTTGCTGAGGAAGAGAATTATCAAAGGAAACACTGGAAGAATAATAGAGAAAACAAGGCAAATAATTTATGCATAGTAAAAGAGGTGTTAAATGTACAATTTCAGTAATGGGTCACCAATGGCTTAGACAAAAGCTTTTTCATTGGTCATGTTTCATATCCAGCTGGAGTGGATAACTGTGATCAACCTAAGTAAATGAAAGTCAATGCAGCAATAATAAACAGGTTTTGGCAGTTTACAGTCATTAGAGATTAACACGAAATGATGCTGTTGGAAGGTCAAATGTATTTTATTTAAGACAGGAGCTCTAAGGAAGGTTAAAGTGAAAGAAGTAAGGTAATGCATAGAGCCACTGTATATGAATGGGGAATGGGAGTTTAGCAGAGACTGAAAACCAAACATGAATTGAAAGCCACTGAGTTTTAATGATCAGTGTACCACATTTCTATAAATATTTGCCTAGTTGCAAAACTAGATTTAAAGATATCTGGCATACAGAGGCCAGAAAGCTGTTAAAGCAAAATAATTTATTTACCAAACCCTGGCATATTGTAAATATCAAACAAACTTCTTGTAAAACAAAACCAAAAAGAGGTAATGAAATAAACTGTCTTCTATAAAATTTTCTGTTGGTATAGACTTGCTCAGGAGAGTCATCAGAAGCAGAAGGGGTCATTTTATTTCAGTTTTAGTCTTCACTTGACATTTTCAGAGAGGTGAAGAACCCCATTTTTTACATTGCAGCCCTGCAACTTTCACTCAGTGCTCTTGAGGTTGACTTGACTGATGATTTGTGAAAATACATCACTACATCTCACAGTAACCCCTCCACATGGATTGTGAATATATGGGTCTGCATTGTGCTGAGCAAAGTTGGGGAGCTCACCGTGGGGAATGTGAACTGTTGTGCAAAGCATAGTCTGTTTAAAGTAATTTGCTCAGTTTAGGATAGGTGTGTAAACCGCCAAATTTCTGGTTTCAATAAGAAGTGTATTTATCAAGTGATTTCTTGTCAAAACAACAAAAGTGATGCTTGGTTTGCTGATAATAATACTGAATCTCCTTGGCTCACTCTCCTACTTCATACACAGGAAAGTGCTTTTTCTGGATAGGACAATTTTTTCAAATGCAGGGAAATCTAATCTATCAACAGGTTTTTAATACTGATAGCTCATAATTGCTCTTTGTGGAAAATTGGTTCTCATTTTAAAAAGTTGTTTAGTTATTGAGCTACATGGGGGAAGCTTTATGCTTTCATCAGTATATCATGTTATTTTTCTTTTTTTAAAGTACATGGGTCCTCATTATCACTTGTCTCCAGCACATCCTCTCTCTACTCTACGGTGAGTATTGACATTTTAGAAAAAAATTCTGCCTGCCTCTGTTCTTGTTCATTGTTCATGAAAATTTCAATACTTGAGGTTTAGAAGGATTAAAATTGCACAGAAATAAAGGAGAAATGTTTATTTTCAACTTTGTGTTACTGCATGGACTTTTAGAATACATGATTTTCCTCTTTTATGTGAATTACTGATAACTGTTTAAAATCAGCTAGTGTGCATTTTCAAAGCTAAAAACAAAGTGGTGGTCTAGAAGTGTCCCTTTAAGCAGGGTCCTTATGCTATTGTGGTTGACAATTTTGAGTGATTTTGCTTACTTTCTGCTAGTTTTCTAATTGCACAATTTATGAAGTATTTATATCTTGACACTGTTTGTGGTACATTTCTTGAAAACTACAAGATTGATTTAGGATAAGGGAAATACAATTTGCAGTTTGAATGTCTACTGCTCTTTCTTGCACTAGACATTTCTTCTCTTTTTAAATAGCATCTAAATGCTGTCACTTGACACTTTAAAATTATTAATCTCAGTTAATTAGATTAATTAGATTAAGTAATATTTGTTTCTAGTTCCAGAAGTTGTTCTGCGTTTGATATTTTTCTCTTTTATTGTTTTGGTATTGGTTTTTTGTATCTTACTTTGTTTTGTATCTTTTGCATAATTTATTGCTTCAGTTGTTATACTAACAAGAAATCATCCATGTGGGAGCAGCAAAACATGTTTGGACATTCCCTTGCTGATATACAACAGTTGCTTTGCAACCTATTCACTAACAACAATTACTTGCTATAGTAGCCTCTTTTCACAGGAGAGTAGCCCACTTACCTGCTTTCTTCCCATGCATTCATGAATAGTCTGTGTCCTCTCCATATTTCCAGGTGTTGAATAGTGTCAGCTGACATTCCAGGGAAGAGATGAACTCCTCTACCCAGAGCCAGCACCAGTTCTTGCCTGGGAATACCAAGCTCATGCAGTTTGATGCATTTTTACCTCTTGGTAGTTCTGTCTCAGTGCCTAAACTCATGTTAGCTTGAAAAGTATGTTGCATCCATGCATGATGTCTCCCACAACAGTGCCTCTCCCAGTTCTGTTTAATCAGCAAAAGGTTCATACATTTGGCGTATCTAAAACACCAAGTGCACATGCGTTCGGTTTGTCCAGGCCTTAAGCTGCAAGATGCAAGTAATTCCAGTCCAGACCAGTTCTGAACTATCTGGAAGCAAAGGAGGAGAGATGGGGATAGGGGGTGTAGAATGTGCATACAAACTGACTGCACATGAAGTATGACTAACATTCAAAGTAAAGCTTCTCACTTATGTTTTGGTTGTCAAAAGATTTTTCCAACTATGTTGCTGTCTATGAGACACTATGATCAGTTCGCATGGGAAGGAGCGTCCAAAATATAATTCAAGCTTTGATGTCAAATTTTAGAAGAATGTTATGAAACTGGTAGATGGTAACAGTCAAATTATGAAGTGACACAGGATACTTTCAGCACCCAGTCAGTAAGTCTGAAATATCTGTGCTCTGATGTTGTGTAATGTAGCAAGAGTTTGCTAATACTATTTATATAACATGTTATCTTTCAACATTACAGAGTATCTTAGAAATATTATCTAAAGCCCAGGATACTAAAGAATAGTATTTTTCCTGCAAAATAGATTTTAAACTGTTTACCCAGGTTCATACTGTAATTGGAATATTTTCTGAAACGCCTGACTGTGAATTCACATAGCAGCTGAGCCCTGCTCCTTAGCTAATGGATTATGTAGTCAAGACAGTGAAAGTTGTGGAGAAATCTCTAAAAGGCCAGAAAAGAACTGGTACCACAAAATTACCAGGATTGACTTTTAGGGATGATCTTTGAGCTGAGTTTCATCTACTTGATACCTCTGTGAGAAAAGTTCAAACTTTTCAGCAGTTAATCAGAAGATGATGCACAAGTGGAAATAGAAATGTGAAAGGCTGACAATCAGTATCACACCAGCTGAATGCAGAGAGTAATGGAATAGCTTCACAGGGTTATGGCATATAAAAATTGCTGTCAGCTATTGCTAGATTCAAGGAGGACTACAAGAGCATTTTTACTTTACTTAAGTAGGCCAAAATCACTGAGCAGGGATTCCAAAGCTGTTGCTTTTTCATGAGTATCTCAATCAAATATAAGATTTCTCAAGCATTGTCTTAAACCTTGTTGCTAGTGGTTTTCTGCAGCCTAATCACTGCAGATTCAGACAAAGTACTAAATAAAGATCAAAATCTTTATGTATTGTTACCAAAGGATGGTTGAAAATCTTGAAGTTATTCTCTGAAGATTATTTCTGTGAGAATTAGAATATGAGGTTCAGAACAGATTTCATGATTTCCTGACATTGAAATGAGTAAGTCCAATGCCAAAAAAGTTCTGCGTTCACTGCTGTTTTCTGTATATATTGGCTTTCTTCTTGACTTGCGTGTGGGTTTTGAGGACTTACTTGCACAGACTGGAAATCTAACTTGTAGATATTTGCACCTACAGAGACAGACATTTGGTTTCACAGGAGAATACGTCATGTAAGCAGACTTGGTAGACTAACTCAGTTTTGTCACTGCATACATTTGCCTCTCCAAGAAGTTGAAAAAAATAGGATAGGTTGTCTCCAATTTTAATCTCCTCCTGCTCAAGTAAGCAATGCACTTAAATTTACACATGCATACTTAATTGCTATATTTCTCTCACTGGCTCTCAGCATTAGCTACACTTAGACTTCCTAGGCTTCATTTATTGTGCTAAGCCAAGCTCAAAGGAGGTGTGTAAGGATATGTCATTTGTATGTTAATATTCTAAGACTTCAAAATACAGAAAAAAATAATCCTTACAAGGATGAAATGCATGCATATGATGAAGCAGAGGGCTAAAAAGAATTACTTACTTTTAGAGCCTTTTGAAGCAATGGCTGAATGCTGGGTTACAGTGGTGTCAGCATGAACTTAAATAAAAAATGCTCAGATGTATTTGGTTGTCAGATTTTATTTTTTAAGTTGATAGTATGCACTATATGTTTGAACAATAATGGGAATAGAATTTCAATTTTTTTTCTGTAGGCAGATATCTTTTTTGCAAACATAGGTGAGAAAGTTAGTGTCACAGCACATGCATCATGTCAGTGCTGGCAAATAAAACTATCATTATCCTAAATCATCTTCATGTAGTTATGTATCAGGTATTACAGTAGTTTCAGACAAAAGCAGTTCTAAGTGTTGCAGTCTGTTTGGTGACTGTTAACAGATAGGCATGTATGGAAAGAGGTATTTGCCAAAAGTCTTCTCCCCCTACACCAGATAAAGTAAGAAAGCTTTTCTATACTAAATCATTAAAATTCAAACAGCACAAAATTTATGCCAGGCTTCAAATCAGCTGTATTAATTTACAGTAACACAGACTGCTTGATGTCAGAGAATCTTTTGAGGAGCCCTTACGTTGGGTTTTCTTAGAGCTTCTAGTGTTACTTGTAGCTAATTCTTCTACCTACATTTTCCTTTTGCTACTTACTTCTCTTCCAGACACTGTTAGACTGCTTCTCTGAACTTGTGCCACCTCAGCCCATGGGGTGGATTGATTTCCAGTACATTAATGGATTCATACTTTATGTTACAAAAGCATTCCTTTCATGGCACACCATTCCTTTCCATTAAAATCCCACTGAAGCAAGATTTCTCTATCTACCAAATTTCTCCTAAATAGCACTGATCCTGTGCTTAGAAACTGAATGACTTTCAAAGGTTTCCCTTGCAATGATTTAGTTTCTTATCTTGTTGAAAAAGACTGCTGACTAAATAGCTTCATTATATGACACAATACATTACGATAGGGAAAATATCTAAAAATACTCAAAACATGAACAATTTTAATACCTCTTTCCCCTCGCCTTCCCCCACAGATCTTTTGTGGGTATGCTGTCAACTTCTCTTAGCAAGGATTAGTTATTATATTAGGAATATTGCTTATATTCAGGAAAACAAATATAATTCCAGGAGCCCTAATAATTGTTATGGTGTAAAAGTTTTCTTATAACAAACCAAGGTCCATGCAGTGACAGCATGGTAAATTTTCTTTGCATCTTAGAAATGTAGCTTCAGTTTCTGCAGTTCTGGTCCCATTCTCCTTTTGTCCACTGTTTCATGTTGTCAGTAGCTCTTTGGGGTTTCAGCTGGAGCCTTGCCAAGTAAGTTGAAAAGAATTCCATTAATTGTTTTTACAGCATACCTTCCTTAAATGTAATGAATCCATGAAGCTATTCATTTCACTTCAGCGTAGCTGACTTTTATTTTCCATTACCACAATTATGTTTCAGACTGATTCTAAGTCATTTCTTCTTTGTTTTCTTCCAGGCAGAAGAAAAGGCACATTCAGAGGTAAGTACTTTTCTTCATTTTTATATTTATGTATTGCATTATATTATTTTATAGTTTATTGTTTACCTGCTATGGCTAAACTACCTAGTCATTGGGAATATGCACCCTGTGCCTTTTCATCACCTTTTAAGTATTGGTAAAAACCTGGTGCAGCTTTTAGTGCACTTGAAGGTGTTTTCTTAGCATTGTGCTGAAAAAAGCCTCCTGGCTGCCATTCTGAAAAGATGAAAAGAATCAATGAGAATTGGGTGTTGAGTGCAGGAGTTGTGGTAGGTCTGATTTCAGACTTAATACCGCTCTGTGCTGGATCTAAGGGACTGTGCAATTCAAGGTAATGTGCTGCCTTTCAGGAGAAAAATACTTCAAGAGATCGCTTTGAACTTCTCTCCCTTACATTTTGCATTATATTAAATTTCTGAAACTGACCACTGTGATGGATTTCAGAGCCACACAGATTGATTTCAGATATAAATCAAATTTGACATGGAAAATAGCTTCTTTCTCCTCACAGTGTATAAGAATGGGTGACAAGCCCGGGTCAGCAGCTGGATACAATTACAGCCTTTCTCAAAATGAAGTCCTGGTTGTATTAAAATGGCACCAAGGAATAGCAGCAATAAAATAGAGCACCAAGGGGTGCACTTCCACTACATGCCTTCCAACTCCTGCATCTGTACTGCTCCTATTTTTACTATTCTAAATCAAAGAAAAAGTCAACTAAAAGATATTTTGGAGAATTTGAACAGATAAACCTTCTTTCCTTGCTGCAGTGTATTTCAGTATAATTTCTACTTGGGTTTTCTAAGATCCCTTCTCTGAATGTTAAAGCAAAGGAGCTAAAGGAACATGCCATAGCTCAGTAGTATAAATTACAAGTCCTCATTTAATTCCCTATATATAGGGCTGTAGATAGAGGTGAAACAACACTTCTTTCCTGTGTGTTTCTACATGATGTTTTCTCAGTATCTGAGTTTGCGTGTGATGCTCTTACAGATGTTGAACAGCACTTCATGAGA